CACTCTCCTAATTTTTCCCACCCCAAAAAGGCCTCAGTTCGGACCACCAGGGCTTCACGAGGAGCTCCAGCGCGAATCCGTGCAGCGGGAGGAGGCCTTGAAACGGCTGGAAGGGAAGCTGCGGGAGGCCATGCAGCAGGCGGCAGCATGGCTAAACCGTTCAACGCAATGGTTTGTGGTTGGTGTTTGGGATGTTTTTGTCGGATGTTTTGTTTTCTTGGGGGATTGTTGATGTTTGGGATTTTTGGGATTGTTTTTCGGTTGGATCAGGATCTTGTTGGTTAATTTTTTGACGTTTTGTTGGATTTGGGGGGTTGGGGTCTTTGGATCGGGGCTTTTATAGTTGTAGCAATGTAGTCGACAACCCTCGATACAGAATATAATCCACCGATAAAATCAACATTGTATCAATATTCAGATTTATTTGGGGGTTGTAACTGTAGCCCGTGTAAGTAAAGGTCCTAAAGGTCAGATTTTCAGTGGGAAGGTTGAAACAAGTGAAGGTTTACTGCAGAATCCCGGATCAGATGTTCGGGTGTGATGTGGAAGTTTATCAGGGTTTACTTTAATATGGGAGTGAATATATCATAGGGTTTTAGCGAATAGTATGCAGATAATGACGACATCTATTGATACCAGTCGGGACATACATATCTATTTGGCTTTACAATCCTACATGGTGAGTTCCACCCACAGGGATCGAGAAGTTGAGCTCACATTGGTCTGTTGGCATCAAGGCTTTATCCTCATTTTCCTAATTGAAAAAGGGCCATACTGCGATTGGAGTATCCCCGATTGGGACAGCCACTCCAAGGCAGTGCCTGTGAAGCAGGAGATGGCCCATGTGCAGGAGCAACTGCAAGCCTTCGAAGACTCTGGAAGGTGCTGAGGGTCCCAGGTTTGAACCCGGGCTTTTCGCCATTATTTGGGGTCTATTCCCAGGTGGGAAACGTTTGGAACACAGAAACTCATGTATTCCCAATGGACAAGACCGTGAAGCAGGCAACTTTAGGTGTGCCGAACTTTAGGACATACCCATGTTGGATTGAGGTTGTTCGCGTGTGCTTTTTGGCATATCGCCATGATTGTTGATCCTCTCGCGTATCGTGGGCGATGCGCTCGCCCCATGGCTTCAAATTGGATCACTCTAAACGACCCGGGGAATCCATCATCCCAATCCATAGCTAGTGAATTATCCCCTACGGCTGGTGGCTGCGCAGGCAACGCCTGGCTGAAGAAACCAGGAGGTGAGCTGTAGACGCGGATTCAAGCAACAACAATGGCGGTATACTGAAGATGTAATGGGATATATCTATATATAATGAATTATAATGATATATTATGATTTGTTATGATATATTATGATATAAATGATATATATATATATACACAATATGTGTACATATAATTATATATACACATGAAACGGGGGATGATCTTGAACTACTTTGGATTTTGGCAAATTGATGGACCAATCGAACATCACGAGGTCACTGGAAATGATGGTGAATTACCAGTCTGGTTGGTTGCTACAGTCATGCGTGGCTTCTTTTCTCCGCCACTGGGAAGATAATTTGGATTTGAAAACATACCGACACAACCATGCACAATCAACAATCACTGGAATTGGAGACCCTACAACAATGCAGCCCGGTGAGGTTTACAAAAAAAGAGACACTATCAATATTATCAATCCATTCATGCAGCAGGGCAAAGGCTCAGTTTAAACCATTTTGATGTAAGAATCTTAGATGACATTTGACCATCCTGCTAGCAGCTTGAGGAAGTATGGACACCTATCAAATTGTCAGATTTGTGGTTTGGTTCCCATTCAGCCCCAAGCAATTGGATGATTTCATCATGTTTGGTCTCTGTGGGGGAGATGAACAGTCCATCAACAGTCTGAATTCCATATCCGTCTTTGCCGGATATCTAAGTGATGAAGCCTCCATTGATTGGAAAACATTCTGCCAAATTCTTGGTTCCTTTCAGTGTTCATACCTGTTTTTTTGCTACTTGGTGGCCAACTGTTTTGGGGTCCTCCAGTTGAAACCCTGAACCATCATCATCAAGCCACAGTTCGGAACCCCATTTTGGTGTGTGATCACCTACAGATCTAATAGCACAGTGTAATCTTTAAAATGTTTGAGGCCCGGCCCGACTGTTGGGATGTCTGGGGAAGACAGGTCTGGAAGTTGGCAGTTGAAAACACTGTTCACGTGCGCTATGATTCTGGAATGTGCAGATCAGATTGATGTGCAGATCAGATTGAGATCGCATCTGAGGTCGTATTCAGAACCCAGGGATCATACGTTGCATCTAGGACTTCCTGGTACCATTCCACTTCTCTGCTTCCAATAAACCCCATGATTCTATTCTGCAAGACGGACGCCAGACATACATAGACCCACCGCATGTTGTCGAAATCCCAGTACTAAACCAACAAACGCTCCGCGTGTTGCTGGCATCTGCGATGGCTATGCTGGATGGGCTGCCCTGAAGTAATGGGGAAGATGGTGGGTGAACTATGGCGGGCCAAAACCTTCAGTATGGCTAGACTGGGAGGTAAGCATCCGTGGTGCAGGCCGGCCAGGAAGCCACCAGGTCAAGCGCCTGAACGCCGAGCCCCGATTCAAAAAGCGTTCTTCGCTCCAAAACATCTGGGCTTCATAGGGCCCCTCAGTAATTAATCATTATCACGGGTTTTCCCATCAAAAACACAATGAGTTGGGTTAAACTCTTCGTCTTCAGACACACTCTTACGTGTCAATCAACCTTTGTCATCAGTATGCGTCTAGACATGGGCACCAATGGTGGGCAATCCTCAACAAACTGATGGTAACGATCGTTTTCACCCAAGAGCGATAGGAACAATTACTGAACCCACTAGTCAAGCATCAGCCCCTATGAAGTTGGACATAGCTTGGCACGAACTCGCAAACTAACGCAGGTCCAAGGCATCAGTGGGGAAATTGTCGCAGCAGATCTCCGCGCTGGTGGAAGATGTGGACAGGGATCTTAGTGGGAGAACAAGGATTTAGCCATCGAAATTGGGATAGAACAGGTATATAGCCAGTAAAGATTGCTGGCAATTGCTGGTTGGTGGTTATTTTTTTTTGGACGGACTGCCTGATAACGAAAAGACTTCTGCTAGCTGAACTCTTTCTGGTTTTAGCGAGGTATTGGCCGGAATCCACAACCCGCCTGGCCTGCTGCCTGGGGCTGGAGTGATGTTTATTAAGATATGATTCTGAGGAACCGTGTGTTCATGCCCATGATGTGACAAAATTATCTCACCATCTTTAGCCTCCTGCTCCTCGCCCTCTTCCTCCTCGTTGTGCCCGCCTTGCTAGCTTTCGTTCCTTACCCCTCAACCTCAAGTGGGATGGTCCCAAATGATTGTCATATTTTTTTTGCGGGGTTGAAACCACAAACCAGATTGGGATTTGGCCGATGAACATGGTGATTCGTGTGGGTGTTAAACTGATGAAATGTGACAATTTAACATGGCGATGAATGGGGATTTTACCCTCTGGCAACGTGACCCGGCCTACGGAATATCCCCAATGGAGATTGCCAGAGGGTAGCTCTCTAGCAAACATAGGTCAAAATTGATGGTATTGATTGTCCAAACCTATAGCTGCTCAGAGGTATCCTAAGTTTTGCCGTTTGGAACATAGGCCGCAATTTGTAGCGGATGATTTGGTATTCCACCATATTTGGAGATACCCCACGCAAGAGAAGGGTGGGCTTCTGCCCGCCCTGGGGTGTCTTTTGTGTTCGTTGTTGGTGCCGTTTCCACATCTATGCTACTTGTAGTTTACCCCAGGATAATAAGCCTTCAATAAACCTTTGTTGCTCATAGATGGGGGCCACCTTTCCAAGGAGAAGTCCCGGGCGGCGCCGCCTGAACGAGCTCAGGTTGCGGAGAAAGTGGTGAAGGGGTAACCCATGGTGAAGGGGTAAACCTGGTTGGGTTACTGCGATTTTTTCGCCATAGAAATTCGTGAGCAATCATATTTACCTGCTGTTTTGCATTGGTATCGAAGACTTCCCATTTTCTTCTCTGCTGGTCAACCCTATTTTTTGTTGGTTGTTTCTCCATGTCGTTTTCTTTTCATTTTGGATCACCGTTTTGACTGGTGGTACCGCCATGTTGGCTGCAGAGTTTTCTAATTTTCGTTCAAATCACACAGCTTCACTGGTGGTAGAAATCCTTTCCATCAGGCTTCGGCAAACATTTCAATTCTTGCAAGTAAATCTCCAATTCTTGATTGTGGTTTCACCATTCCCATTCCTGCTTCCTTGCGCATGGTTTTGGTAGTTAAATCACAACTCTTCCTAGACTTGCTTGATTGGATCCTTGCAAAATCACCACAAATCACCCGCCCCACTGCGGCAGGAGCTGGCCCGCAGCTTAGCACAGCTGGACCGCAGGCAAGTAGCAGAGGAGCAGGGGAGACACCAGGTGCGGTTGGGGAAACCCGGGGATGGGAGGGTTCCAGTTCCAACCAAAGGAGTTGACATGAGTTAGGGTCTTGACACATAGTCAAATTGGGTTTCTAACCAAACATGGAGATATTAAGCTTTCAAGATGGGGATTTTAGACAAGAAACATGGGGGAGATAAGACAAGGGACAAATACATATGATATCCAACAGACATGCAGATAATCTGATGTTGTAAAGACAAGGAGAGATGAGCGGGAGTTATTTGACTCCAACTACATGACGGGAGGACTTTAAGCCCCAAAAATGGAGATTTAAACAGCAAACAAACAACAAGGATTCTACGAACAAAAGCCTTGATCTTTTGGCAGTGATGATAGGAATTCAAGCTCTGGACACCCATTGGTGAATTTCTTACCTTTAAGTACTCAAACCAAATAACAGACCTCCTCAACCAAATATAGGAAGTCAATCAACCAACCTGAAGATGTACACACCACACTTAGGGATTTTATCAACCAAAGATCGGGCATTGGCTAGTCGAACATTCCA